CACAAGAACATCTTTTTCTAACTTAAAAGAAAAAGAAGAAAATCAGCATGAAAGATGAATAAACAAGTACTCTCTTTAGCAACTTTCTTAATCTTTTGTCACTTTTTTTCTCTAGGAAAGTGTAGCATGCATGTTAGTAAACTGATTATTATCGATATCTATTTTTGAATCAATTAACTTACATTCAAATTAGAAAGAAAATATAAAAATAAATAGTCCAAATGCCTTTTAGAGATTTTGAGGTTGGAAAATATAGAAAAGTAGAATAAGTTCGAGAGAGAAAATTACATTAAGAAAATGATGAAAAAGGAAACACTTTTTAAGATTTGTTTTCCGACAAGAACATCATTTGACAGAAAACTTTTAATTACTTAATTAACTTTATTCCGGATTTTGATCATGTGTAGGATTATAATTGTGAATTTTTATTAAACAAATCTCTTGCTGTCTCTCATCATTGATTAATCAAGTTGATACTTAACAACTCTAGTCTACTGTTATATCTGTCCATTTTATTTGATACAATTATTAAGAAAATAATAATCAACATAATAAATTTATTATTATTCTTATTCATTGATAAAAAATTTAAATCAATTCACTTTTCAAGATTTTACCTTTTTAAAAAATATTAAACATTAACTTTGGTAGAATTAAACAATCATTAATAATTCATCAACTTGGCTAACTTTTTATAAACATTAATCATTCTAGGAACAATCCAAGTTTCCAAAAGCATAAACAAACATGAATTAAATATATTTACTTACTTTTTTGTCCACCTTTATTCGTTAATTATAAAATGAGATTTTGTTTATTGATAGGGATAGATATCATTCTTTCTTTGAGTAATTTTTACAAATTAAGATATTTATTATTTAATTTATTTTTATTTTTAATTACAATTACTTTTTCAAAAAGCATTGAAATTGTTATATTTAAAAAATGATATGGTTAGAATTTACATTCAATTATCGCTTCTTCACATATTAAGTGAACTTGGTATAGAGCAAAGTATTTTCTAATAATTATTTTTTTCAATTTTCTAATTTTGGTTGGAAGGAAAATTTGAAAAACAGGTTCCTTAAATCTAGAAAATTGATTTCCTTAATTTAAATAGAAAAACATGTTCATTAGTAACATTTTAAGTTTATTATCTCCTCCAAATCCCCTCAATTTCCAACCCCCGAATGATCCAAATCCACGAATTACACAAATAAGATAATTTAAATTGCAGCTACAACATGTAAATATGCAAATTATATCTATGAAACATAATTAAAATTTGTATAGTGGCTATTAATAAAAATTCCCCATATTTCTATATTGGTTTTTAATTACTCCTTTAATTCCACATCAAGATTTTAGAGTTTAATTAGTATTTATAAAATTACAAAATCCATGCTTATTATTAATTTCAAGGGAGTTTGAACACATACAAAGATCCAAGTACAAAATAAGCAAACTACAAAAAAAATATAAATTTTATTATTATTATTTTTATCAAGTTGCATAAATATAAATTTTTATATATTATGAGCAAGGTCATGTGTATCCCCGCTGGAATAACATCATTTTTTTCCTTAACAGCCCCAAATACACATGTAGCATACGTGTACCCACACGTTCGGTCAAACTAACCTCTAGATCTAGTCAACGGTCACCTCAAATAATCATTTCATCATTTCTTGCTCATAATTTTATTTTAATTTGAGTAATTCATTAATTAGTGGTTATCTGTCAATATATAAATTTGTTTTACACAAATCAAATTATAATTAATTCATTAGTTAGTGGTTACCAGTCAATATATAAATTTGTTTTTTACACAAATTAAATTATAACTAAGGCTAAAACTATATCCTAAAATCTTACATGTTTCTATGGTAAATTTACTTGAACGGGATGAAAGATTCATAAAGAGATCAGAGCATTTATCATGACATAATTTTATTCGTAATTTGTACTAACAAATAATTAAAAATATTCACATTGAATTTCTTAATTCTAAAACAAGATATTTATAACTTTGATGTACTTATTCAATCTAATATAATGATTATACCTTATTTCATGATAAACGGAATTGATAACGATGCAGTTTTTTTCTATTCTAATCATTAAGAAGTCATAAATTATACGAGTTTAAATTTAATTTCAATCCTGTTAAGTATAATATTATTTTTCAATTGGATTAAAAATAATATAACTTTGAATCTCGGGTTTATGAATATTTTTCATCCAGATTTATGTATGAATTTTTTACCACAAGCGTAATATTTTTTTTTTTATGGTTATATTGATGTTATATGAATTTTAACACACCTAATATATGAATATAAGCCAAAAAAAAAAGTTCTTAGGAATCAAAAGTTTTTTTTCTTATATTTCAACTTTTCACTTGTGCTAATGGATTCCATCTCAACCGTTCATCAGGAATATATTTGACTGTCAGCCGTTGATGTCCACACGTGCAATCATTATCGGAGGACCTCTAGTTTGTCGGTGGGCCAGCTTTGCTTGGATTAATGGGCCTCACATATCTGGTCCATGTGACCGGCTTAGCTGGTTAACATGTGATTAACCGTTAATCGAATCTCTTAAAAACTTCAGAATCTCATTGCTAGTACTCATTCGGTTTAATTTTATGACACTTAAATTTTGAAATATAAATAAGTTTATTTTTTATTAAATTTTTTTTAAGTATTTTGAATTGTTAATTATTGTGATTTATAATATTTTTTACGTAATTTATAAATATATAAATTATATTTTAAAAAATTTAAAAGTTTCATTATTATCGGTCAAACTTAAATCGTTTGAATCTCGAAAAACTAAACATATATTGAGACAGATGGACTATCATTTTTTATTGTTAGAAAAAATAGCACATTTAATCGGGAGGCAAAAAATAATCACATCAGTTATTCAAATTTATATAAAATCATACAGTATTATCAATAGAAAATGCATGTATATTTTGTATATCAAAATTAAATATTTATATTATTATATACATTTTTTAAAATATAATAAAATAGACCCGACTCATTGGAAAAGGATTTTGAAAGCCCAACTTGTTGGAAAAAATAATATAAAGCCCAATTTGAGGTGTAGGGTTGCACGTGTGCCGAGTTTGGAGAATATTTGTTCTGTATATGTACGCACTCTGTGAAATTACAAACATATCCTCACTCAAATAAGCACCATAAAGCCTAAATTGGGACAATAATTTAGTGGAGACAAGAGGATAGTTTGGTAATTACCAGACATGTTTTGTTTAGCAGCTAATATTAATTAATTAATGTATTAATTATTAAAGAATGAATTATTGCAGAAGACAGCGTAAGCTTCATCATTTAACAAAATGTACTTTATGAGATTGTGGGCTTATTATTTAATTATATTATATACACTACCTAATCATATATTATTGGTTCAAATGATGAGAAGCTGTCTCAATTATCATATAGTAAGATTTGATACGTCTTTCACAATTCTATTAGCACCATTTTAGAGTACTCTTTAATTGTTGAGACCCCACATTAGAATTTGTCCCTATAAATTGGTCATTTAACTTCAAATTATTGTTGTTTTTTAGAAATGCAACAAAAAAACACCAAATCAAATATTGACATTTGGTATGAAAATTCATTTTAATTTTTTTATAGGAGGTAGTTTGATTAAATGTACACTTTTGTTATACTTGTGATTTTATTGAGGAAAAAATCTGAAATATATTTTAATTTTCATTAAAATTATTATTATGGTATCAAATTTTTAAAAGATATTTTACCCGTTATGAATTATTTAATAATGTATTTTAAATGTATATATATTCACGTGAACATAAAAATATTACATAATTATAAATAAAAATATGTTCATATATATATATATATATATAATATTTGAAAGGGTAAAAGATCCTTTATAAAATTTTGTATCATAACAGTAAATTCGATTAAAACTGAAGTATTTTCAGAACCCTTTCCCTAAATATATCTCGACATTTATGTAGCTGTAGACTCTAGAAATTTAGTTATCTTTATCCGAGGTCTCATTTTTTTATAATATTTAACTAATAGTCGAATTGTTTGATAAAAAGGTTTCAAATTCAAATGGTAAATGTAGAAAAAGATTTATTAAGAATATCACTCATTAAGATTTCAAATTCAAATGGTAAATATAGAGAAAATTCTATTAAGAATATTACTCCCAAATAAGTTTTATTGTGTGGAACCCAAATTTATTATGAATATCAATATGAGATAGAGAGTAAAAACAAATTAAAATAAAATCATCTTTTCTTAATTTAATTTAGCAGTTGACAAGTAATTACGAATAATTAAAAATGAATAAATAATTAGAGATAAAATTATTTTTTTTAATTATACCCTTAATGAATTACTTCTCAAAAAATAGAACTTTTAGAAAATCTTATATTTTTAATTTTTCTACTTCAAAATTATTAGAAATAAAATGACAAATTCAATATGTCAATCATTATTTTTTTAATAAGTGTCTGAATTACTTTTTAAAAAATAGAATTTTTTGAAGATTTTATATTTATGATTTTTCTACTTAAAAAGTTATTAAAAATAAAATGACAAATTTAATATGTCAATTATTATTTTCTTAACGAGTGTCTCAATATAAAAGTGAATAAATTTTTAAAGAATAGAGGAAGTATTCTAAATTTGAGCTTTAAGAATGAATAAAATTATATCATAAGCCTTTGGAATAACAATCGTAACAAAAAAGAATGATAAGTGACACACCACATTTTTGAAAAAGAAGAAAAGAAGTAGAGGTTTGTCATTTGATAAAATCTTGTTTCCAAATGGCAGAAGAGACAACTCAATAGTAGTGTGTTAAGATGAAACCTTACGTGTCTATCAACAAAGGCCTCTTTATCATGCAAATTCAAAATGACCAACACGTAACTACCATGCATCTAACTTCTCTTAAACTCTTATCTATTATATTACTCATATCTCTTCCCTCTGCTTTTCCACTCTTCATCTATCCATCTACAATCCAAAAAAAAAAAGAAGAAGAATGCAGACTCAACCTCGTCATGAGCAGCACCTTTCTCGTCAGGTGGCCAAGACCACCACTGCTGTCACTGTGGGTGGTTCACTCATGGTGCTTTCTGGGTTAATGCTGGCGGCTACCGTTATCGGTCTAGCTATAGCTACCCCTTTGCTGGTGATTTTTAGCCCTGTTTTGGTACCTGCTGTGATAACCATTGGGTTGATCCTTGGTGGGTTTTTGGCTTCTGGTGGTTTTGGAGCTACTGCTTCTTTTGTTTTCTACTGGATGTACAGATATGTCACCGGGAAACACCCCATTGGAGCAACCAAGATCGATTACGCGAGGGATAAGATTGCACATGCGGCAAATGATGTAAAAGAGAAGGCGGAGCAGTTGGGGCACCAAGCACAGCAGCAGATTAAGAGTTGAAGAGACGGACATTCAGGAGCTCTTTTTTTCTTTTCTTATGCAAGTATTTTACCGTTTAATAGTTTCTGAGAATGTGGGAATGTTGTTGGTTATCAATGGTTCTGTAACTTGATTTACTATTTAACGAGTCTGTTATTAAAATACCCAAATCTATGTTAGTTCATTGCTTCCTTTAAGCTTTTAGTTGAAAACGGTGCCATACTCTGGCACAATAAATCATTTTTGGCACACCCCGAAAAGAGGCCACCTTCTAGCAAAATTATTGGCGATGGTGAAATTACTGCAATCATAGTTATTCACCAATTGTAGTAGTAGTAATTTCTCGAAAGTAACTTACTGCACAGATATATGTGCCTTACAAACAAGACGAAACATTGTACTGGAAAAGGCAGAAACATGAAAAGCTAAAATTGGTTTAAACATCTCATCCATAAAAGCCTCTTAGACAGCAGCATTGGTCTAAACGTTTTTCGAAATAGCAATGACGTTAAAGTTGATTGAGTCTGGATTTTGCTCGATTATCTTTTTGATAACTGTGGCTGCATCCTGTAATAAATGAGAAATACTTCCATGTCACAAAACACGCATAATTGGGAGATAGATGAAAGAACCAGGAGGCGGAAATAGAAGTTTACAGTCATACAAGTATGTGAACTTTTGTTTGAAGGAACTTGTGGAAAATACGCCAAATCTTATGTAGGAGTAAAAACTAAACCTTAGTCCTAATTAATTGATATTTGCTTATAAGTGATTTCTCCAAATTTGGGACTGATAATGTGATCACAGATACTGAAGAGTTCCAAATTAAAATGGATGAAGCCACGAAGGTTAGGTGTGAGTGTGAAACAAAGAAATTAAGCCATTGTCATCGGTCACTCCCAGAGCATGGACATAATTACTTACCTTTAATAAGCTGTTTGGAGAGGATGCACCATGTGTAATAGGTCCTGCCCTCCTCCCATCAAGTTCATAGAGTTGTCCTGCAATGTGACAAAAGCTTGTGTGACTTTCAATTCATCACCCATATAATGAGTCGAGTTGAGTAATGTGGAATTGTCTAGTCAATAATCACTATATTATTCATGTTGTGGACAAAGATATAGTCACGATGCAATTTTTGATCTCCCATAACATGCGCTCCTAATGCTCCCCAATATATCGTTGTTTTAGGGGAATAGGGGTTTCTCATCAGTTTAAATGAACGGCAGTACGTTCTCTAAAGGAAGTAATTGGCCTAGCAGACATTTTCAAATCATTATTATGGCATCAATACAAGCCTCCATGTTTTCACAAGAAAACTACAGCTAGTGAAATGTAAAATTAATGGATATTCCAGACTCTCTAGGTGTTGCTATGTTCTAAATCAACCGAACTCCTTAAACACACTGTGCAAAAAGCTATAATGGAGCAACAGTTGACTCCCAATAATACTCGAAAAGGGGAAATCACCTTACAACTTTCTACACCAAAGCCATATTAGTAGATAGTAGCAGTCTAGCAAAAAGTTTGTAATGCCCAAACCACAGTTTACACTTCAGATGACAAATAACTACCTTCTAACTTGGAAGCAGAATGCAGACAGTGCTCAAAAGTCGATTCTACAGAACACAAACTGTGAGAGTGAGAAAGAGTGGGATGGAGAAGGAAATACCATCAACACAGGAGAAGCAGATGAAATGAGTGTTCACATCGTCGGTAGCCTGCAGAAAGAACTCACCAGATTGATACACATAAAACATGAAAAAAACAACAAAAAAGAAAGTGACATGAATTTTATGTCATATATATGGGATTGTTGAACCAACAAAAGGAGTCATCACTTCAATGGGAAAACTGATATAGAAGAAGTTTCTGACTTCATAGTCTTATATCCAATCAATTTAACTTCACATCATCAAAAAGATTTTAACAATAAAACCAGTAAATGTTTTAAATCCATCTACCATTAATCATATTCCAAAGAATTAGAACTATCTTCAATTTGAAGTTTTTAACAGAGTTTGCACTGAGGTTCACGCAAACTTTCAAACACACTCTATATTGGCTTGCAAAATATTAAAAAGCTACAGCCCCTGGCTCTAACATTTCTCAGTTGCAAGAGCAAAAGCACGCAAATCCACAAAAGTTTGAGCAGGAAGAGTAAATGCACTAGAACCTAAGAAGAAGGATGTTGGTTATCAACTATCTCCAAACCATCAAAACCCCTGGTGTTTGTAAGGCACACAGTTGCCAGGCTTAGAGGTAGCCTACCTCTAACATGCCCAAACTCTCTCATGCAAACAAGCCAGAACTCAACAAGAAGGTTGCGGGTCCTCAACAAACTGCAAACCATAAAAATCTCTGGTGTATCACACACAATTTCCTCAGAAGGCTTAGAGGTGCCAGCCTCCTATAACACACCCAAATACTATTTCCATGCCTCTCTGCTCCACGAATGTCGAGAAAACAAAGAGGCTGTCATAGCAGCATACACACAAAGAAACGTCCAGAACTGTGAGCTCCGGGAAATCTCAATGTACAAGAGCTCAAATCAAATAAAGAAAGTTGTTCACCGCAACATTCTTTAGATCAGAAAAAGCTAAGCTGCTGCTGCCACAACATAACAGCGACACCAGGCTTGGAGGTACTATCGTACATTTTTCTTTTTTATTTAAAAAGGGGAAATGGGGAAGGGATTACAACATAAGGAATTCGCCATATATGTGAAAGTTTAGGTTACCAACTGGACAACCCTATTTGATTGCATGAATTCTTCGTCATGTGTTTTGCACTAGTTCAGACCCTCCACCTTTGTGCTTGCGAATCTTTCCTCATTTAAGAAAATGTCAAGAGTACTCATAGATCATTGACTCAATTAATATGTTAATACATTGATGAAGTATTTATTCTCTAACTTACTTTACTTCCAAGTAAACCAAGGAATGATTAAGCATAAACAGAATCTCATATCAGTAATTGAAAGCATTAAGGACAAGCTGAAGGTTTTTGAATATGTTCAGCTTCAGTTTTACTTCAGAGAAGCAAATAGCGTTGTGGACTCATTGGCTAATGAAGGATTGAAGCTCGAGGGACAGATTTGGTATGATGAATTTGAGCAGCTTTTCACAAAAATGAAGGCACAAATGGTAATGGATAGCATACAAATGCCTAGTTTCTGGTAGGCAAAGATTTAGTATGAGGACTGCTTATTCGAGATATCTTAGAAACACATAGATTATTCAATTCTGACCTCAGTATCACCAGCAGTGGCTGCCACTGAATGAGCAACTTCCATTTCCCTATCGTTTTCAAGGAACAAAGCACGCTGCAAATTTGTATCCGAATGTATTAGCATTGGATAACTAGAAGGATGTGACTGGCCACTAACTTCAACAGCCAAAATTATACCTGCATTGGGTCCATGCTTGAAGTTGATTTAAAGAACTTGTCCAAGAATGAACCCTCGGCTAAATGGAAAAAAAAACAAGCATGTCAAAACTCGGGGAAAAAAAAGAAGAATAACTAGGATGGAAAAAAGAAAACAGCAAAAAGGGAAGGAAAACCAATATAGTGAACATGTAAAGAACAAAACAAAAGAACATATCTTCTAAGTTGACAAGAATGTCAATAATAAAAGAGCTTTGTGCAATCACCATAGTTTAGAGAATTTCATCGAACCAACAAAAGCTGATCAGGCATTTCTCAGACTATGATAATAAATGAAGAGCCTTCCCCCCTAATACTATCATCACACAACGAATCAAGCTCTTAACAGAGTAATATACTACGTGGTGCAACTATATATTATGATACTACCAGAAACTCTTAAGTCCTCCCACCTCTAAATTACATACTTAATGCAAAGAGTTGAAACCTTAATGGTGAGAATCAGTTCATGATATATATAGAACATCAAATGACTTACTAAGTTTTATCTGAGAGGTGATATTCCCAATAGCGTGAAGAAGACCAATTGTTCCACATGCATTTCCCACTGTTTGTTTCATGTAGTAAACTGTACTACTGGGATCCTGCACCTGCCAGAAACCTCTCAAGAATAATTATCAAATTATGAAGCCAAATATAAGATAAACGTAGAAACACTCAAAATGCTCAACTCGGTCAAATAAATAGAGAAGAAACAGATAATCAAGTATATTAGGAGATATCTAGACGGGGCCAAAATAAGATGTTGTAGTGATGACTGATTTATGTGACTGATGAAATATAAAATCAAGCTTAAGTTACCTGTCAACGCCAAGTATAATATGACCTTGCGTTGTCTATTAAACTCACTTAGAAAACAACCTGTCTAAGAGACCACTTAGGCACACTGGTATGGTTTCACGACAGCAGCCAATAAAGAGAAAGCCTGAGTTCATCGAACTGGAGAATGTTGTATACAGCAGGAAAGCAAGCAAAAAGGAACAAATGAGATAATCAAATCCAAGAAAGAGAAAGGATTTGGCTACTGATAGCAAGGAGACTAAGCACTGGGAACTGCAAACCCCACTTCCCCTTTCAAAAGGAAAAAGAGAAAGAGGCAAGAGGGAACTTCCTAGGATTAGTGATGGACAAAGTTTCACACCAAGAACTGCATACGCCGGAGCAATGACATTTACGTAATTGAACACTCCAACAAGAGAGAGACTAAATGGCACAATTTTACTAACGGAATCACTCATCAATAAGAAGAAAAAAATCTAAGGTTGGAAGCAAAGACTAACGAAAATGAGTAGTTATGGTCATCCAATTCACCTTTGTTTCATTATCTTGCTTCATTCTCTCTTCTTCACTCTGCACGTACATGGCAGAAAATTAATTAGCTGATCAGGATCATTGACATATACCAGTTAACATCAAACTAAATTAACAAAAAACCTGCGATGTGAGAGGATAAAGAAATAAAACAGCAAGCACTGGCTTTGGCACCATCTCCAGAAGTTCTTCATCTAACCCATAAACATCACAGCACTCTGCCTCATTCGGTGGAACACCAAGACCCCAAAGAAACTGCTCGATAAAAAAACACGTAAATTAGGAACTTCATTAATATTTTTCATTTCTACCTTCATATATATGATTTTTCTCCTTCAACTTCTTACAGTTTAACAAACCATATATAAATTTTGATTAAAGGCTTCCCAACCTAGTTAAGAAATACCATCCCATAGTTCTTTCACATACTAACGCCAACAACAACAAAAACCTAGTGAAATCTCACAAGTAGAGTCTAAGAAGGTAGAGTGTATACACACTTTACTACTACCTAGTGGAGGTAGAGAGGCTGTTTCTAGAAAACTTCACATATTAAAGGCTAACTTATCAATTCTATTCCTTGGTGGGAAAACATACTTAGTTGATTGAGTCAGTTCTCAACCAAAATTTGGGTTCATTCTCTTTTTACTTCTAATTACACTTGGAAAACATCAATTCCCCTCAATCTCATTTTATATGACACCATCACTACTGGACTAATTTTTTTTTCATATACTCTGATTAGTAAAGTACAAAACATAATGAATTTGTAACCGATTGGAGTCCAAATTAGCTACTTTGACCACAATACTCCAACCAGATCATGATTTTGGGGCGGAGAGAGACTAGAAGGTTATTCATTCCGCGTACCGCTGATTCAGAAGACGGTAAATACTTATTAACTGAGATTATTTGAACTACCGAAACAAAAACAGGATGCAAATGAAAATCGAACAGATACGAGAATGGAGCGGAAGTACCTGATTCATGACATCCGGGTTAGCTTCAAGAGGAAGCCATCTCTTCTTAGAGCCTGTGCTTTCCGCCATGGATTCTTTTCTTCTTTCTTTAGCAATTTAGACTTTTATTTTACTCTCTCAACCTTGATGCCCTTCTCCCCTTTATTATATATATATATAGTTATGGGAAGGGATTTATGATGGGGGTTTCTTTTATTCTCCTTTTTCTTTATAGGTATAATAACTAGGAAATGGTTCACACAACTTTTTTATAATTTTATTTTTCAATTTTAGTCATAATTATAAAATCTTGTAGAGATTTGAATTTCATCTAAGACTAAACAATTGTAAATACATCACAATATCAATTGATCAGTATTTTGAATATTTAAGGTTAGAAAGAAAAAAAACATTATTCAAAGTTGATATGATATCGTCCAAAAAAAAAAGTTGGTATGATCGATGTGTAATACTCCTTTAGCAAGTAAATGAACATATTCTTGGTAGGAACACCTTTGATTGTTTCAAATATATTTCTTTTTTAAACAACATTATTGTCAAATGAGCATTTGTCAATTTTATTTGATTGCACCAATATCAAATTACATATTTTTGTATATATATGTGTTTAACATTTACATTTACTTTTAGAAAAAAATGTATAAAATAGCAAATTAGTAATTGAAATTAAATATTATAGTCATAGTTCTTTTATTTGTAATTTTCAACAAATATCCTATGTTTTTTTTTATCTCATTTGTATACCGAAATATACGAATAGATTTATTCAATATATATATGTGTTGTATAGAAATTAATTGTAGGACCCATTTGTGTACCAAATAAAATACAAATAGACTCATCCAGTATACATGTGTTGTGTAAAAATTAATTGCAGGATCATACCAAAATATACAAATAGACCCATTCAATATACATGTATTGTATATCTGTAGTAGTTTTGTTTATATACTATTACTATGTTTTTTAGTATGTGTATGTATTACTGAAATATATAAATTAATAGTCATAGCAAACATAAAATTTGCTATGAAACACAATTATAGCAATTATTGTTATAGTATAGAAATACAATTTTTATATGTTTGATAAATCTAAAATTTACTCAAATTTTTATTGTTTAGTTTAATCACTTAGACATCCAAAATCAGTAAGCATGATTAATCTGTTGAATATACCTAATAAGAGAGTTGAGATGCTTCCAACCAAGGAATACCTCAAACGAATGCTTATGCATTTGAACAGGAAAGATGAATGCAAAATACAATGATGTTAACTCTCACTACAGATCAACCTGTTTACATAGACATGCATCTTACATTCGATAATGCCAACTAAGCTTCACAACAAGAAGCTCACTGATTGAAGTAGACCTTGGCCCTTACCCTGTTGCAAGTAGTGTTACCTGTGTAGTGTAGGGTAAGGGGAGTGTAATTGTATGCAACTTTGCCCTAAGACTTCTGCAAAATGTTTCCACAGCTCAACCCCCGATATAGTAACTCTAGCATTGTGCCAAGTCTTGTTCTCACATCTTTCACTAGCTAACATGCAAAAATCTCTTTTGAATTCTTCCATACTTGATATCCATTTTCTCTTCATAAGGAAGTACTAGACTTAACCTCGACGAACCCATTGCTCTAGTCGAAGCTGCTTTAAAGGAGGACCAAGATTTGGCTTAGTCCTCTGGGGGCACCGCCATTTTCCTGTTGTTTCCAAAGCACTAGGATGCAAGTTGGTTGTTTCTGTGAGAACCTTTCTAGTCAAACCATGCTTGTGGCTGTTTGATGCAGCAGTGATTCCACTTAAAGGAGACTGAACAGTAGCTGGCGTTGGCAAAGGACTTCTGTTCTGCACTTGACTATTTCTACTCTTTCTGGTTGATATAAAACCATTCTCTTCGAAGTCATTTATGTGATTTTCTTTGTCGATGATTTCTGCCGCTTTCCGTTTGGATAACTTCTGACTTAACACACTCATCTCCATCCTATTTTTACATTGCAAATCATCAGCAGGCTCAACACTTTCTTCAGATTTCAAGCTGTTTTCTGCAGAATCCTTCCTGTGGATTGGATGTCTGTATAATTTTTCACCTTCACAGCTTGAACGATCAATGGTGAAGGATATTTTGCAGTTAGCTTCTTGAGGAAAAAGGGTCTCCAAGTGTTCTCCGTCACTCTCTTTGAAGACCGTGTCAAAGTGATTTGGTGAATCACATATGCTATTCTCCGTTGTCTTGTGATATAGTGTCTGTTGAGAAATCCTCTCATGAGACATTTCATTGGATACTCTTGTGTTCTTTGTCCCATCAGCCTCCGGATCCTTCAAAGTATACTAACACGAAGGAAATATCATCAAGGGAACTTATGGCAATATGGTAAGTTAAACCTCAATTACGTAGCTTAAGTGTCAGTTATCTTCTTTTCATGGTAGAAACAATTGTATAACTAACTATAACTCAATGTAATCTTATAGTATATTTTAGGTACTGATCCCTCCAGTGAAAAAGATTCGTACAATCGCAGAAAGATAAAATCCACCTGTTTGTTGATCTACAGCTTAAGGTTCTACGTTTACTTTGAGTGCACATTCAATAAATCTACATCTAAAGCATGAGTTCATAAAGAATTGATGATGGTAGGACACAGAGAAGGGATGTTGAAACATAAAACCAAGTAGATCAAGAGTATGAAAAGAGATTGATGCAGCTGAAGGTTCCAAGTTTACCTTTGAGGCAGTTTGATGCTCATACTTGTCATCATGGATAAAAGGAGTTCCTAATGAATTCCTAAAATTCTGAGGTTCCACACTGCCACTACATCCATTCGTACACACTTTGTCATCTAATTTTTTCTCATGATCTGGAAGTATGAAATCTTGAATAGTATCCACTTTTGGAGATTCATAAACATAGCTAGAGAACCAGTTCCGGATGTCTGGAGGCTCTCATAAAAATCATATAGGGTAACAAAGATTAGCATTAACAAAAACTATCATTGCCTGCTTAAAATGGAAACTTTTGTATTAGGAGGTGAAATGATCACACTAACCTGAAGCAAGTGACATATCAGCTGAAGATTCCACATCCTAAAGACACGAGTACACAAAATCATAGTTTAGTAAGAGCACAGGAGAGACGATCCAAAAAAATCTATGTGCTACACTGTCCAACTAGGAACCCGTTGGTACAGGACTTGATGTTTGTCAATCCATACAATATTTTGCAAATTTTTCCTCGCACAAAATTGTTCATCTAATATTATTATCCCAATCCACCACAAAGACGTAGCACATCAAAATAGACTTGGATTCCAATTAAAAGTTTGCACAGTGGAAATTGAAACAACATAGAAAATAAAAGTTGCCTGACCTACCCATTTGTTATCTGCAACAAAATTTGTACACTGTTCAAGGTCTTTTGAAGCCATATTGACACCAGAAGACAAACTGTTGCATTTCCCATTTGTTTGATTTTCAGCAGAATTGTCTTCCTCCTTGCAGTTGATGTCTTTTTTACACCCTCTTGAGCTAGTATCCTCATTGAAATCGATGTCAATTGATTCAGGGACTATAGTATCATCATTATCAGCCAATAAGGGAGTTTCAGGCACAAAACTTGAGAAACAGTCCTTGGTATCTAAAGGCACTGATAGCACTGACATAGGGACAGAAAGTCAGCTTCGTACAAATTTCATACAAGCAATTTTGATGATAATTTCATACGAGATGAACTGGCAACTTTCGTATGCAGTCTAGTTTCTACTCTCTCAGCATATACAAGGTTCTTAATTTCACTTCTTTCTACTGAGATGCCAGAAAACAATAGTAAGCAATACTTCGTAGTATGTTAACCTAACTTACCAGAAGAAAATGGGATATCATTTGAAGCTGTCCAAAGCTGTGAAACAACCACTAGAGCAATATTATTAATCTTGAAATGATAATATTTAGTAACAATCTACAACTTTTAAAGCTCTTGATAACTATAAGATTGAATTCAAGAAGCAGATAACAAAAATCTCTTTAATGTTGAGACTCTAATGCAGGGGTTTCTGAGTATAATCATATCACATGATAACAGTGAACTGCGTAGCTTTTCGGACCTAATAAAATGTGGCTTAAACTTTTTAACAAGGGGTTGATATTTCCTTCTTTTTTTCCTTTCTCATGAGGGAGGTTGAGTCAATTCAACAAACTATTGTTCTTTCCACAAGGTTTAAGGGATAAGACTTGAAGTTCAACTACCTTAGTTGGAAGTTCGATATCACCTTGTGAAGCTACATTCTCACCACAATGCAAGGAATCAGCTTTCTTTCTTTTCCTGCCATCTCCAGAATCATGAAAATCATCAATCTCACTCAACACCGGGGAATCATATGCATAGCTCGAGAACCAATTTCCAATATGAAGTGGCTCTATTTGTTCAAACAAGAAAACCCCAATTAGAAAAACAATAGATTGAACCTTCTAGATCAAACTCTTTGGAGAAATTATGCATACCAGAAGGAACCGACAGTGAGTCTACAGAATCCAACACCTGCAATTCAAAGTTGCTCATTCAGTGATAAGTTTAATTTCCTCTTTGTTAGCAGAATAAGAAAACATTAAACTAGTGTTTCGCCATGGATTTTGAGACTCTAATTACAAGACGAAAAAAAAATCAAGTAAAATGAATGTACAAACACAATTCATAAATTAAAATTTTCAAAATCTATGATCAAACGGGGAGCTTCCGGGTTTACCTGCTTCGACATCTGGCTAGAGAGAAATAAGAACAATTCAAAAATGTGAAAAGAGAAACTTTGAGAATAAAATTTTGGGATGTAGATAGTCTACAAACTACAATGGCGCGTCTTTCAAATTTTCAAATTTATTATTTCCCGGGAAAAGAGTTCCATCCAAAACATCTTATTCTGATTTCTGCGTTCAACTTTTGAAATTTCCATATTTCTCCTGTATTATCAATTTAGCTGCAGAACTGGTCCACTATTTTACCTTTATTACACTTTTATGCATATACAAACATTACTTCGGCAATTTAGTTTTATTTTTGTATGGAAGTGGTCCCTAGCTTTGAAAAACAAGTACTCATTTTTTTTAATTCATTATTAGAATTAAATCATCTATCACATGTTCTTATATGTAAGTGCAATGTTGTGATGAGTATACATACATAATTATAAGTAAGACATTTGTATTAATTGGAAAGACTCTGATTTATTAATCTCATGTCATATATATTATTTACTTTTTATGAAGTTATTAATTATTCTATATAGGGATAATGCTTAAGTATCCCATCAATCTATGCACGAAATCTCAGAAACACAGTTATATTATACTAACGTCCTATTACCCCCAGAACTTATTTTATTAATAATTTTTTACCCCTTTTTAGCTTAGGTGGCACTATCTTGTGGGCCCAACGATGTTTGACTTTTTTTTTCGAACTAGTGCCACGTAGGCTAAAAAGGGATAGAAAATTACATATAAAATAAGTTCAGGGGGTAATAGGACCTTAGTATAGTATAAGTGTGTCTCTGGGATTTCGGGTATAGGTTGAGGGGGTACTTGGGTATTTTCCCTTCTATATATATAGTCTAGTTGTCAAAGAGAGGGAAAAAATGGTTATCTATCCTTCTCGCTAAAATAGCAGCTCAACTCATTCCTAAACGGGTCACGGGTTGGGATGGGTTGAACCTTCAACCAAAAAAAACAGTATTACTCTCTTAGAAAGAGTATTGAATGTTGATGTCTATGAACACGACATCAATTCATACAAATATTTATTTATAAATCACACACTTCGATGAATATTTACAAAAATACATTTATGAATCACACACTTCGGTGAATACTTACAAGTACATAATATCCAATGTAAGATTTAGCGGATAAATGTTGATCATTCAACCATTTCTCCCAAAAAAAACTAGTTGTTTTAAAAGATTTCAGCAACACAAGACGGCCCAAATATTTAACAAATATAAATTACTAAATATTACATGACCCATTAATTAAAATTTTATGACTCCGCTTCCTCTTCCACCATCGATCACATTTGATCAACATGTGATATTGTTTCTTAAAAAGTTCATCTACAATTCACCATACAAGATGATATTGCAAAAGACTTTATTTTTTACACGGGCTGGCCTCTGAAGCTTGCGGGCTGGGCCTAGTGGGCCAAATAGGACAGACTAAAAAGTCTCGTTCCTAAATGAGCCAAAAAATTTTAAGCTCAATTCCACTTATTTCAAGGCTTGGATTGGATTAGCCTCGCAGCCCAAACCCATTTTGACGGCTCTAGAGTTCTGCCCAGTTTATCCTTTCAAATTTTCTCTATTGCGCATTGAGTAATAATTTACTTAAATTGACATATTAGTCATTCAAATAAGAAGATAAGTTGGCTTTTGGTTATTGATTTCAATAATTTTTTACTTTAGTTGGAATTATGAAGTCAAAGTTCAAAATTAAGTTGTGTTTAGTTATACTAGTGCATGAGAGAAAAGAAGCATTCTACTCGAAATTATGAAGGCAGATTATAAACTATTAATGAAATTTGGAATTTAACTTCAAGTTTAATTTAAAATTTCTTGGCCAAACACTAATATTTTATAAAACGAGAAATTATTCCAAAAAAAGTGAATAATTCTCATGGCCAAGTGAGTCCTATAAAAAAAGAGGAGAAAAACATGTACTTGTTACTTCTTTGTACATGAAGTATACATCCCTGCTAATTATATAATACTCATGATGATGGACTAGGCAAACAACTAGATGTAGGGAAATTGTGTTCTCTATCCAGATTGATAGTCAAATCCTTTCCCTTGCTAGTGTAAAGTCTTTTAAAATTAGACCTTTGTTCATTTAGTAGCCTCACAAGACTTCTCTTGGCATTAGGCCTGAATGGACAATTAGATGCCGTAAATCCATCCACCAAATGCAAATACGCCTCTAAATCATGGCAGCACGCAACATCCGCGTTAGGCTTCAAAAAAGGAGACATCTTTGTATCAACTCTGAATTCAGTCCCAACGTGTGAGTACGCCCATGGCATTCTACAATCTAACATCTCTAGCACACGACCCGCACCCGATTCTCTTAACTTCTTATCGAGTGATTCGCTCACAAACATTCCTGGAACCCTCGTGATCACGTCTTGATTGTTCACGATACGTAGAACCTTAACATTATTATCGTTAAGACGATCCGCGAAACCCCGGTTGCCTACTCGTGGGCCTCCGAAGGAAAAAACGGCTACGGGCGGGGCGTTCGGCACACACGTGCTTAAATCATCTGCGACCAAAAGGGATAATGCCGCACCGAGACTGTGCCCGGTGACGGTAATGCTTAAAGGTTCACCTTTGTATTTTTCGATTAATCTTTGCACTTCGTTAACAACTGATTCAGCTAAACTTGGTACACGATGATCACTTGTTTTGTATAAACTTAAAAATCCACATTCTACTTTAGATTGTACTACTCCTTCGTCGTTATTATCATTTTGTTCTACCAACAAGTCACGGAAATTCTCTGCCCACTCTAAACAAGTGGCGGTCCCTCGTAACGCGATAACTATGTCTCTCCTTCCCATTCGTTGAATCTCACTCCTGTCATCACACACTGCCACGTACCCGATCCAGCTAGATCGCTGAGTCATCCATCTGAGATCAGGTGCCACGTCATCCACCCACTTCGGCAACCCAATAGACGAAGTTGCGTATAAGCTTTTCGTCACCTTGTATGATCTATCCGGCAGCGCCACGTGTCTCTCTGGCAGAACCTCATCTGCTGACGTGGCCGGGTCGGTGTGAAAACAGTGATAAGCCGATTGTATGAATTCCCCGTACCGGACTAATTCTCGCCGGAGATTTTCGTCGAGTGGATCGAGTAGCCCGAGCCAGTTATTGCTGCCGTGATACTCTCTCCACCGGTTCGCGAGATTGTTCCGAGGAGAATATTCCATTGATTTTGACGATAATAGCCTTTTTAGTCTATTCAAATGCCTTGGCGACATATCCTCTGCAGCTTTTCTCATCTCATCAGGCCAAATGTTGGCCAAATTGAGCCCTTCCAACAAGTTTTTTCTCCTATTCTCTATCAACCTATTACTGGATGGTTCAATTACAGGTCTCGATGAATCAATTGGGTTCGTCTTCTGCAGAAGCTTTTCGAGATTGGAAATGTGTTTTTTCGTCATCTCTGTTGATGATGAGATTGTTTTTACAGTTTGTGCATTGCACTTAAAGTTGACTCCCTGTGGCTGTAAAAGGTGAAGATTTGGAAGTGCTGTTCCGATCTGCATGGTTTTAGAGAGAGAAAAAGGTGGAGGGATTTTGAGAGTGAGAGAGAAGAGTGAATGAGTTAGAACTTGGAACTAACTAGATAGTTACCACTAGTTGTTATTGCATTGAACTTGGTTATTTATAGAGGAGAAGGTTACACATTTAGGCTTATTCTTTTCTTTATTTACAATTACAACCAGCAACAACATCATAATCCAATGTGGTTGAGGGAGTTGAGCTCTCGCATCGATTTAATTTAATTTAATTATTAATATATTATTGATGTGTTAATACACTAAATTGAGAATTAAATCATCAATTATTGATTATATATATATAGATAGAAAGATATATGCATTATTTGTCTTTATTATAATCTAATCTAAAATTTAGAAAGGATAAATAATACTAATTTATGTCAAAAGGAGATAAGGTATCACCGTATCACTATAGAGAGACATAGAGGTTGGTTGCATTTCCTACCATAATGATAAAATTTTAGAAAATATGATTGATCAGATATTTAAGTCATTGAATATGAATATAATTGTACTAGATTGCTAGTTTAACCATCGATCAAAATCATAAAATTAAAAAATTGAATTGAAAATTATTAAAGTAAATTTTATTTTTATTTTTAATAGATCATTTTCGAGAAAAAAAAGAAGATAAAATGTCAACTCAATAAATCAAGCAACAAATATTTTATTTTTTTTTAAAAAAAAGAGACACAATATGAGTAGGTGAAAAAGATGGACGGTATTATTTGAGTAATTGTTCATTTGTGTTACTCTAATTATACTTAAAAATAGAAGAAAGGAGAATAAATTATCCTCATTATCCTCGTGGCCTCCCTTAATAGCTACTCGCTGCTAACTCCTCTCTTTTCCTTTTTCAATTAGATTCAAATATCAAAAAGTCCACCTTTAATTTACGGTTGACAAAATGACACAATTCTTTATTTCAACATACCACGTTTTACACCTCCGACCATATTTCTTTTTTTGTTTTTGAAAATAGAAACCGTGCTTGTTATTTTTCGGATACATATTAGGTAAATTTTACATTATCAATATAATAATTTGTAATTATACTAAATAAAAGATAAATTTAATTTAAAAAAATATAAATAAGATTCTTCATTTGGAAATCATCTGCTCAACTCGATGATTGCTAAACAATTAATGGGTCAACAAGTAATACGACACCTCCGACCATATTGTTGTAAAGATTTAGAAGGTTAATTAACTTTGTTTTTAAACTACATATCGAATAATCAATATGTTAAGGTTTATATGATTATTATTTTATAATTTTGAGATTTAAATAAAAAATATTATGTTATCGTGATGTTTTTTATGTATCATATTTTGAATTGTCGGTTATTATTGTTTGTATTTTTAAACGCAGTTTTCAAATATTTAAATTATATTTTTTAAAAAATAAAAATTGTATATCTGATTTCACGATTAAAATTAAACTGTTTTGACTCATAAAATGTGTATATAAATTGAGATAAAGAGTCTATTCTTAATTATAGCGTAATTTGTAAGGACTTCATGTAGTTGTTTAAGAAATTGAAGTT